TCTCAATTTCGGTCAGGTGCGGGATTTGCGGCAGCAGCTCGAGATCGCGGAGGTCGGATGTGGTAGACTGCCCCGTGTATGTATGCGCATACTCCTGTTGCTGAAAGGCTACAAACCTGCTGCAGTCTGCAGAATCAGAGCAGGAAGCTGCAGAGGTCAGCAGCAAGTTCCATCATCGAATCTAATCTCAGAGAAACCACTGAATTGCCTCCGCAGGCAAGAGGCCTACGAGAGCAAGAGCTGGAGAAGTCCTCCGAGGCCCTCCGGTGTCAATTTTCTGGGGAAAGAGATCGAAGTAATTGCATCTTGGTAGGATCGTGCTGCGAGGTCAGGAACACATTCTTATCTATATCAGATATTTCCTCCGGTCAGGTGCAACGGTTGTGGCAGCAGCTGGAAGCTGCACAGGTCGCTCGCAGGGGCAAGGGGTGGAGCTGTGTGAGACCAATGCCAGAGGCACGCGGAGCTTCTTTTGAAAACATGACGAGGCATCAATCCTCGATCTGACAAGCGTTCAGGCACGAGTGCAGCACCGTTTCGGGTTCAAGCGGTTTAGGGTTCAGGGTTCGGATCCTCGGTTTCGTAAGAGCCCACAAATAGAAGCCGTGCAATAAGTACCCTACCATTACGATGACGTTGCGAGGACCACCTGGGCCTCGAGCTCCGGTCTGCGCGCACCGAAGAGGCACTTTCATGTTTGAAGAGAACATCCAAGCCGCCTAACCCTTTCTAGCTCGGAAGGAGTCCCTCCAAGAGCAGCGCGAGATCCAGAATATCGTGCTGCAGCGAGATCGTCGACCTCCGTCGCAGGGAGGCCAGATCACAATGTACAGGATTTAAGAATGAGCCCGAGCCAGCCTGGTTCCAGGCAGAGCTGATCGCAGCTGCAGCAGCACAGGCGCCTGGCCGGACAGAGAAGTGAGCAACCCTGTCAATGACCATCTGACAGGATGCCACGACTACTCGGACACAGAGCCCCTCACAGGCAGGGGTTCTCTCGATTGCCTCTTTCTGTGTGTGTGTATGTGCGTGTGCACAAACTGTCACAAACTCCTGCGAGCATGTGTGGACGGCCAGGTTGGCATGGTAGCTGCATCCGGGCCTGAGGCCAGAGCCAGACCTCACGCGAAGTATGGCGCAGTCCTTCAGATCCATTGTCACACTCACGTTCACCCCCACAGCCAGGGAAGCATGTTGAGCATCAGACTTACCTGCTGCAGGATCCGACGAGCCCCGCTGACCCTCCTGAGGCAGGACTCTCAGCAGAACCATACTTTCGACAAGGAACCTGGCACTACAACGCATGTGGAGTAGCAAAAATGCAATCTTTGACAGGTTCCCACAGAAGTCCCTTCTCCTGAGCCTGCAGCCTAAGGCAAGGCACCGGATTGACTTACCTCAACAATGCTCACACTGGTGATCCAAGTCTGCTGCGAAGGAGGCCGCTGTTCGTCGTCTGGAGGAGTCTTCCTGCCTGCCAGCATTCAAAAAAAATCGGCGCGCAGTTTGGTGGCTGTGTCGTTCAACAAAACAAGCTTTCTTCAGCACTGTGGATCTATGGTCCCAGGTGCGGGAAGGCGTTGCAGAACACGGAGCAGGCAAGGTCGATTGATTGCTGTTCGAAGCGCGGTGGGAAGTCATATATCTATCCGAGAGTGCACTTGCCGTCTAGACATAGGATCCTGCATGTGCTGCTCGCATAGTGAGGTTCACAGGCTCGATAGGTCCAGCGCTGCGATAGTGCTTGGATTCTACGACACCTGCAGATGCAACACTAAGTATGCCTCGAATAGCAGTAGTATGTCCGTTTTTGTTGCATGGTACACTATTCTAGCGGTGTTTGCAGGATATCGAGACCATTGGGTGCGTCACTGTGCTAGAATATGCTGACTTCCCACGGAGCCTCCATAGCAAAGCTAGAACGCCGTCGGCCCAAACTTGAAAGAGCCTGATGCTGTGACACTGGGGCACGCGCCTCTTGAACCATAGGGCCCTGAAAGTGCAGCACAAACACCATCGCGGTACTTGTGTCGCATGCAGATCTAGTGTAGATATCTAGTGCAATGGGTCTTGCACCTGCCCTGGTGGGGGCCTTGCCATATGCCAGGGAGACACCATCGCGGCGTTCCCCAGCATTCCGTAAAAGGGGACACACTATCGCAGTGTGCCCCCTGCCCTGTGAGGGATTTTTTTGTTTCGGCCAGGGAGACACCATCGCGGCGTTCCCGGCACTTCCTAGAGAGGGTGCACACTATCGCAGTGTGCCACCCTTTTTCTTTTTTTTTTCTTTCTCTCCACCTGCCCTGCGAGGGCTCTCTGCTTCGGCCAGGGAGACACTATCGCAGTGTTCCCCGGCACTTGTTCACAAGAGAAGCACTATCGCAGCGCTTCTCTTGCGGCGAAGATGTCGAGCATCGCTGTCGCCTTGGAGTAGATGATGCCTGTGATTCCTGCGGGGCCCTGACAGGTGCACGGGAGTTTAGAGCTGGGGGGGCTTATGGTTCAGGCATTTAGAGACTTCACAGATCATCCAAGTGGAACATAAACCGAGGCTTTAACTATACTCCACGAAAGGCTTTCTTCAAAGACAAAAACAGAATGAAATGTAGTGTTGTTTGCCAGAAACTACTTCCCAAACACAAGCTTTAATCTTTTGCGGTTTCAATGACATGAAAGATGTTGACGAGCAACAAAGACATGTCCTGCAAGTTTTGGAAAGCACCCAAGAATCAGGTTTTGAACCGTGTGTCTTGCTTTTGGCACAACAACGCAAAATTCGCAAGCAAGTCGGGCTGTCATTTCTTTTTTGTACAATCCGCGATTTTTTGCTCGAATTTCGAAACGGTTTTTGCCCCCTGCCAGTTGGAACGAGTTTCTTCAACAATCAAGACCCCCCCAACAAATTTAGAAACACCTGGGTCATGGTCGTTTGCAGGTTTTGAACCAGTTTTGCTTTTGAAACCCCTGCGCCCGTTTTGGCTGTGTTAGCATGCAAAACTATGAAACATGACAGGTTTTTTCTTGGCACACAAGCTGCGCTTGATAGCTGATGATGCTGTGTGGGATATTTTTGTTGTCCTGTCCACGGCTTCCGGCAAGTTTATGGGTCTAGGCGATCTACAGCCACTCTCTCTCTCTCTGGATCTCGCTGCCTTTCTTTGTTTTTTGTCCATGGGATGTCATGCCTTCCCCAGCCACACCCAACCCCGAGGCACAAAGGCACACAGCTAAGCACCGGCAAGTTTGGGTTACTAGGGTTTGGTGTTTAGGGCTTGTAGGTCTTAGGGCTTAGGATAATAGTGTTTAGGTATGAGGGCTTAGGGTCTAGGGTCTCTAGGTCCAGGGTCGGTTTAGGGCTTAGGGTCTGGGGTTTATGGGTGAAGGTTGTGTGCGATTTGGGTTCGGAGCTCGGTTAGGGCTTCGTGCTTATAGGACCTAGATTGTTTATCTCCAGGGTCTCGGGTTTAGGGCTTTGGGTTTCTGGCGTTTGAGGTTCGGCTCGGGTATAGGATTACAGGGTTTAGGGCTTTGGGATTACCTGGAAAGCCTACTTGGGTATAGAAGAAATTACCAACTTCCTTTCAATGTCCCAGTGACCAGTGACTGTTATTCTAGTTAACTTAGCCTTCCGCCTATAAACACTGTAAACCCTAAACCCCTAAAATAGAGTTTCAAACGGGGGTTTGTTTTAGGGCTTGAGGATGTTTAGGGTTGTAAGGCTAAGGCGTATATACGGCCCGGGTTTACAAGAGTCCCCTGGAGGCCGCCTAGCTCAGAGCTGAACGTCATCGCCCTGGCCATGCGCTCCTGAGAGGGCAGACTCCGCTCGAGCTGCTTTGAGAAGGGTGAAAATACAAGAGTGCAGGGGATCCTGTTCATTAGGGTTTAGGGTTTTTTGGGTCTAGATGGGTTTAGGGTATGATTTGGTTTGGGGGTTTAATTTAAGGGTTTAGGGCTGCGCGGCAAGGGATTTCCACGCATTAAAGTCTCCAAGCCCTGACCCACCAAAATTTGAAGCAACCCTTGTTGAAGGTTTGAGGCTTTGGCGGCTGAGGGCCTAGGATTTTAGGATCCATCCATGGGACAAGAAAATGTCAGTTCTTATGCAATGAGAACCACCGAAATGATGTAGGGGTTCTTATTCAGAGCGAAGGTCTATTCCTCAATTCATTGGTCTCGGGCTCTTTGGGTCAGGGGAGACCTCGGGAGTGGATGTTGCTTCTCATGTGTTGTGTCAAGTTGTCGTTTTCTCTACCATGCGTTGCTAACAACTTCAGAAATGAGAACTGGCAGTCAGTGGAAGCAAGTATCGTGAATTTTCGCGTGTGCAGTGATGTACTGGCAGGCGCAGCCAGATAGCAGGGAGGAAAGTATATTGCCACAGGCAGTTAATATAGTCGTCCGCCAGGGCAGACAAAGAAACCAATCTGACGCCATGGAAATCTCGCTCTGGGGCTCTCGACCCTGAGTCCCAAAATCATCCACTCATTCAAAGTCGCACCTTGACAGCCTTGGTAGCCCATAGGAAAGCTTTTCTTCAAGGTTTTAAATGAGCAAAACCACTCAAAACGTGCTTTTGCAGCCTCTAAAAGCACGTTTTTAATGGGCTTTTACCAACAAACAAACAAACAAACAAGCAAAAGATATTTAGAGATCCTGGTTTCGTTGTGTCAGATATGCACAACTTTGAACCCTGAAATTGATCCTTAAAGTTTCAATTAAACAAAACTATGCACGATGTTCTTTGCAGCAGACCATTCCATCAGAGAGGAGCATGGATGCTGCAAACTGTCAGTCTCACATTGCCACTTGCTGTCAATTGTCAATGCTGTACTCAGTAGACTAGCATAATTTGTGTTGATAACGTTTACTTGTTCATGGCTTTGGTGAGCCATGCACATCGAAATTCCCACTGTTGGTCCCCGATTTGCCAGAGAGGCCGACGGATTGCAATTGGAAACTTGTATTGGGGGGCAGTTCCTTTACCACAAGAATTTCGAATGTCTTCGGAGGCCTCGCCTGCATTGAGCGCGCACAGCGAAGCTCGATCCCACTTGAGCTCAGCAGTGGAGGCTGGTTGTTAGGTTCGGTTCGTTCTGTGCATATGTCTGGGTGAGCAACCTAATCGGATCTGTATCATGTCGCCCATGACATGATGTGTCGAATAGGCTTGCGTCAGACATCTTGGTTGACACAATGGTGCTCGTCACAAGTCTCCGCCACGAATGAACGCTGAAGTGTAGGGCCTGACCACCTGGTGCCGACCACCACCAAGACCACTACTGCTACTGTTGTAACCTCTACGTAAGTGCTACTGCTACTGACAACTGCTACCTCGGCCACTGATCAATTACTTGCACGCACACTGTCTGTCAGGTGCTTCTCGATGCCGCTGTCGGACGAGACGATGACAGATCAGGCCGACGGCATCAACGGTCAAAGTACTGGCGCTGGAATACCGACATCGCCATCACAGCCACAGCTTGTTTCCCAGATCCTGCCCAGGTGCCCTGGGGTTGTTGAGTGGTGAACCAAGTGCAAGAACGTGGGGCCCTGAAAGTGATAGTGCCGCGCTCCATGACAAAACCCCACATCATGACAGGGGTTTCCAGGCCTTTGAAAATGCTGCTTGGGAAGCGGTTGCAGACAACCTCAGGACCCGTTCTCGTTTTCGAGATGTGTTGGGCATCGGCGTGGCTACTTGTGTTGCACTTGCTTGTGCATCGGAGCAAGTGGTGCTGTGCAGTTGAGAGTATATAGGCTGCATACAGACTGGCCGGGCACTGAGGGTTCAGGTCGATCGCAAGATCCAAGTATATCCCTTGGTGCTGAGGGTTTTTCCTGGAGCGCCGAATCCGAAGTTACTGTTCATAGCGACGGCATCACCTTGCAGATTGAACCCCACCAAAGTTGGCAGCATACCGCACAGTCAGATGGTACTGAGGGTTCAAGTCGGTCGCAAGACCCGAGCACATCCCATGGTGCCGAGACTGAGGCGAGGAGTGCCTTGATTCATGATGTTTACAATGCAAACCCTGCTCGATTTTCGAGGCCTGACCGAACTGAGACCCGTGCCTCCTGGGCGCCGGTCTTTCTCCCTAGGCTCGTTGGCGTGGCCGTCTGGATTGGGGGCATCTTGCCTCTGACCTGTGTCCCGGGGCTGCAGATTTGCTTTTCCCCCTTTGTTGGGGTGCGTGCCGGCGAGGCAACTAACCCTGGACCGAAGGGGTCCGAGGGACAGAGCGGCTTTAACATTGACGTTGGCAGCCTTCTGGGACCCGACTTTGCATCGTCCATCCGTGCTTTTATTGAGGCTGCAGTGCAAAAAGCCATCAAGGAGGCGCTGCAGGGTCTTTCGCTTGGGGACAAGCCGGAGGCAGAGACGGAGCAGCCCGGACCGAAGCGGCGCAAGCACAAGCATGGAAAAGCGTCAGAAGCCACACCATCCGATGGTACCACTGTCTCTCCGAGTGCCCCTGCTGCCCAACCTGCTCGAGGCTCGGCCGAGGTTAAAGGCAAGGCTAAAGGTGCCAAAGGTGGTGACAAGGCCACCGGCAACAGCCCTGCTGCGGGCACTGTTGGCAAGGGCCGTGGCAAGGACGTGACTAAGTCCCCTGAAAAAGGTGCAGGCCGAGGCAAAGGTGATGGAACCAAAGGCCAAGGTCAGCCGAGAGCAGCCGATGCCAGAGCGGCCCATGATTGGCAAACCGTTGACCGCCGAAAACCTTCGGCTCCTTGGTGCCTTCGGTCCTCCGACTGGAATGCCCCGGCTCTCGACTTCAGCGAGGTTGCCACTGCCCTGGAAAAGACCACCGGTGTCTATAAGGCTGTTGTGCTGTGCGGGCCGGGTCAGGCTGATCTCCTCGCCACACTGCTGCTCGGATCCAAGCGGCCTCATGGTGTTGTTGCTGTTACCCCTGACCACCCCGAGGCCGAAGCTCGCTGCCCGGGTGCTGTTGGAAACCAGTGTGTATTCAAGCCGGTGCATTTCCACCACATAAGTTCGCCTGGGGTCGACCTTCCAAGCCCCAAAGTCACGGCAGCCCGAACACAAAAAGTCGTTGCGGCCAAAACTGCAGTGCTTTATGTGCGGATCTACAAGAAGTATGTGACCAAAGGAGCCTGGAAGGACGTGCTTGCAAGCCCCCAGCGGGCCTTTCACCATTGGGTGGCACAGCACCACATGAAGGTGCAAGACAGCTGGGGCTGGGCCAAGGAGCAGGCGCACGGTGAGGACCATAAGGTCTATGCACCCGAGGCCGATGTCACGGCCTTTGTTGCCATGAGTGGAAGGGACGGCATCTTCATCAACCCGCCCGGTGGACGTCGTTCCCAGCTTTTACGGTGCAATGGGCTGAGAAAGAAGCTAAGGAAAACGACCTCGAGTTCCTGCAAAATAGAGTCCCCATTTGGTGTCGTTGTTGGGAGACGCGGGCTGGGCAAGCGCATCCCGAGAGCGGCAGATCAAGCCACACTACCAGGATGTGGATGCTCGAGCATGCGCCCTGTGACTGGAGTGCAGCCCAAGCTCTAGAGGCAGTCTCAAAAAATTTTAGCGAAGTAACCATGACCCGCCAGCAACGTACGAGGAAGGGCATCAACTTCTTCTTTCGTGCTGCCCACACCACGGATCATGATGTAGTTGCGCTCCCCTTTGCTGATGGGGAAGACACGGAACTCATGTGGTGCAGATGGGCGCCGGTGCGGGCTCGCCCCCAAGCCCAGACAATCCGTACGAATGGTTCGTGGTCGCTGTTACCGCCCAAGGCACCCTTTACCGAGACCACTAAGGTTGCACACGTTGCCCCGCAGGCTGAGGAGGAGGAAACCACCGAAGGCGATGCTGCCATGCCTCAGTCCGCCTCGCCGGCAGCCACCCAGGACGCAACGGCAGCCAAAGAGGAAAAGGAGGTGAAGCGAGGCGCGCCCAGCAAAGGCACAGGCATCGCTAAGCGTACATGTACGGAGACCCGGGACCTGCCGAAGGGCCTGGAGCAGCAAAGTGCTCCCACTGACGGGAATTGTCTCTTTCATGCTGCCTCCTCTGCCATTGCCCACATCCTTAAGACAACCCCAGAGGTGCACAGTGTTTTACGTGCCAAGGTAGCGCAACACTTCAAGAAACATGCCGAAAGGTATGAGCTTGCCTGGGATAAGGAGATGCCTGACAAGAAGGCTGCTACATCGTTCCAGGCCTACATCTCGGCCATGGCCGAGGTTGGCACATGGGCAGGCCACCTTGAACTTGCTGCTTTGGGCAGAATTTTTGACATCAAATTTGTCATTTTTCCCCGATCTCCGGACCTTGAGGTTTGTGCGGTGCATGCTCAGCAGCGCAAACGCGTGGCGGTTCTGGCTTTTACGGGAAGCCACTACGAGTGGCTGAAGCCCACAGGCAAGCTGCCTCAGGAGCTGTGCGATGTCACCACGGCTCCCCCAAAGGTGCCAATGCGACGAGGAGGAGGCGGCAAGGCTTCATCACACGCATCCAGTGCCGCTGCCTCACGCCGGTCAGTTTGGACCCAGGCCAGTGACGGCATCGAGGACAACGTGTCCACTTGGACCTCAGCCAGGCTCACTGTCAGCTCGAGCAAGGCATCGGTCTGGACACAAGGTGGGTCTCCAGAGGGCCAAAGCACACATGGTGCACGTCGCCGCTCTCAGCCATGTATCGGATGCAGAAGAGAACGCCCCCGCACCCAAGCCCCCTACTGATCGCCAGATTCGGTACTGGGGCCGTGCTGGCTTGTGCCGAAAATGCTGTATAGCCACTTATAGCCACTACAAGGCGCACCACCCGGGTAAAGTTCCATCAGGAGTGCTGCATGGTGAGCGGCAGCCCTCCCTGATTCAGAGAGGCCGAGGTGGTGCGCCCGCTTTGCAAGTTTGGCATTGCTGCGCAGGATGCTTTCGCTAAAAGTGCTAATGCTGTAACTGCTGATAAGCTTGTTCATTGTGTAAGAGGGCCCACCCCGATGTTTCTTGGAGTCACTTTAAAAAACTGGACCGGGCAAGCACCCTCGAAAAAGCTGCAGTTGCGCGAAGAGGCCGGGAGTGCTTGAAGCGGCTCAGCCGAGCCAAGGGCACTGAGCTTGAGGGATTTCGGTTGTTCTGTTGGCCTAGAGCCACTCCTTCAAAGACCTTCAAAGCCCAGGGTGGACTCCGAGCATCGTTCGGCTGGATCTGCCTATCCTGTGGCGGCCCTTTTCGCACCTCCAAAGATGCCTTGTCTCACTCCAGCCGGGGCCTGTGCAATCCGGATAAGGTGCAGCAGAAGGCCAAGCGCCGCGTCAAAGCCATTGATGCACTTGCCAAAGCCCACAAAAAGAACACGCCCCCTGGGGCTAGGAAGCAGCGAGAGTGCAAGATGCTACAGCAAGCCAGGGGCAATTTTCTGTCGCCGTTTTCTTGAGAATTGCAACGATCAACCTTGCCGGTAAAGGCATTTCCGCTGTTGATGCCCTTGCAAATTTCATGGATAGCCACTGCTTGCAGGTCTGCACGGTGGCCGAGGCCGATATCAATGTTTCGTCAGCACCAGGTTTTATTAAGGCTTGGAAAAGGCGAGGCTATCAGGTTGCCTTGTCAGTGCCAGAAGACTCCGGAGTCTCGCGAGTTGCCCTGATTAGTAGGGTTGCCTTTAAGAATCTTCGGGTTGCTGAGGGTTTTGCCTCCTCCCGAAGCGCTGTTGGCATTTTCGATTTTCAGGTCGGAGAGGAAGTCGCGCAAATCCTCATTGCAGCCTTCTACGGCCAATCTGGCAATGCACCGGCAGCCTCTGCCCAGGCGGAAGACATTTTGGCGATTTGTTGCCACAGCCAGCTGCCTTTCATAGTCGCCGGTGATTTTAATTTGGAGCCTACCGAAGCAATTGTTGGTGAAGCCAGGGCACGCGGGGTTGTTAATTCCCTCGATGATGCATCCAATGGTGCCCCTCTTCCCGCCACGGGGCCGGGCCGGCGACGACGCATTGACTATGGCCTGTGTCATTGGTCCTTAGCTGCCGATGCCATCACTAATTTTGAGCCCGCCTTCTCGGACCATGCCTCCGTCTGTTACAACATCCCGCTCGACGTCCCGGCCTTCCACGTTGGCCCAAGGCGTCGTGTCATGCATGAACAGCCCACCAGGAGGTTGCAGCCAGTTGCAGCTACATTTGAGCAGATTGATTCTACGCCTTTCCAGCAGGCGATCGAGGCCCATGATGTCGATAAGGCATGGGAGGTTATGTCTGATTGGGCCGAGGCTTGCCTGAGCTCTGCCACCCCCGGGGCTGTCCCACGCAAAAGTCCATGGATGCCCCGTCGCCTGGAGCACCAAGTGCACCCTGCTGTTCATGGATCGGCCACCGTTAAAACCTTGGCCAAGCTCCAGCGGCAAATCGCTGTGGTTGCCGGGACGGGTGATCCTCAGACAGCGCAAAAGGTTGTGCGGTCACTTCCTCGAGCCCGCCGTCTCGTGCCTGACCTCCCGTGGGTTCGCGATTCTGACTTCAGGGATTTGGGCACTTTTGTTGACAACCGTTTGCTGGAGTGCCAGAGCCAAGAAGCACAGGCAATCCGCGATCAATGGAAGACCTTGCTCCGCGAGGACACCGGCCGCCAGCGTACTTTTGTTAAATCGCGGGCTGAGGCCCAACTTGAGTTTGAAAAACGGCCGCCCGATGCTGATGCCGCTGCCTCTGCCGGCCCTGTGCACCCGTCAGTTGTGGTCCGTGAGCAAACCCAGGCCTGGATTCAAAAGTGGCAAGCCGAGCCACAACCGAGGCATGAGGCGATTGACCAAGTCTTACAAAAGGTCCCGACGATCCCCCGGGCTGAGCTCAAGTTGACTTTTGAGGCTGAGGGCCTTAAGTCCCTTGCGGCTGCCATGGCGGATAAAGCTTCAGGTCCTGATGGCTGGAGTGGCCGCGACTGCTCGGCTCTGGCAGCATGTCTGGGATCATGGCACCGTGCCGATCCTCTGGAGAACGGCCAAGGTAGTCCTGCTTCGAAAGAAAGGAGGCCCGGCAACAAGACCAATAACCCTCACCCAGTTGATCTGGAGAGTGGGGGCGAAATACGTTGCTCGAGCACTCCGCCTGTGGTCACCTGAATGGGCTTCGGCCAGCGACCACGGTGGACTATCAGGCCGCTCCACAAGCGACGTTTTGTCCCAGGTTCAGGCAGCCGTTCGCCAAGGTACTAGGACGGCGGCGCTCCTTGACGTGGCAGGGTACTTTGATTCAATGTGCATGCCTGCTATGCATAAAGTGCTCCAGAAGCTGGGCGCGCCGCCCCAACTGGCGCCCCTTTTGGATTCCTTTTACGGTGGAGCTTTAAGGTACTTTTGCTTCGAGGGCTCATTTGATCAAGGCTGCCACGAAGTCAAGGCGGGCTTTGCCCAAGGATGCCCGCTCAGCCCCATCGCGGCGGCAGCCTTATCGCATTGTTGGAGTGCCTTTCTGAATGCCTCGTGCAATCGGGTTGGGGTCCAAATTTTTATGGATGACCGTACATTACTGCTTGAACCGCGAGGGTCATTGGAGGACCTGGAAGGCGCTCTCAGTGCAAGCGCTGAGTTTGACCAGGCCTTTTCTCTTCAGTTGTCGCAGGATAAGTGCTATATAGCCGCTGCTGTGCACTCCTCCGCGACAAAGCAATTGGCAGATAGATGGCATTTTTCGGCTTGTAACACCCTTGACCTCTTGGGAGTTAGCTTTGAGTTTGATGGGTCGGGGGCCCTCCCAAAATTTTCTTTGCGCAAGGCTGTCTTGAGGCTCAGGCTGTTAAGATGGACCCAGGCCACAACCAGAGCTCGCATCATGTTGGTCCGATCGTTGGTGATACCCTGCCTGGCATGGGCAGCAGGCTACGCCAGGCTATGGGGGCGATACTGCGACCGTTGCCTTCTATGAGCTTTTGGGTTTGGGCTTGGAGCCGGACTTTGCTTTAGATATGGGGTTGTGCAAACTCGCATGGCGGTGGATTGCCAAACCACCATCATGGCATGAGCTCTTGCCGCTCACAGCAATGCCGAGCACTTGCATCGCACACCTTCCTCAATTCCAGGACCTCCTTCAGAAAACTGGATGGTGGACCAATGCGCAGGCCAACACAATTTTCCGGAGAGATGCCAGCGGAGGCCTCCGAAAAGTTTGTATAGGGTACGAAAATTTTTCGGTTCTAAAGATATGGTTGCAGGACTTCTACCGTGCACAATACTTGTTGAGATGCCGACGAGTCGCGAAGTCCCTTCACAGACAGCCCGCCCCTGACCTTGCACAAGGCTTAGACCTTCCTGGGCCTCCGATGGGTTATAGGGTGCAGTTTCAGGGCCATCGCCTGGTCCTTGACGTTCACAGCACTTTAGGGCACGGCTTTAGGGCTCCTCCTTTTTCACACCATGGCTCGTTGGCTGGTGCTGGCGGTTTTGGCTGTGGTGGTATTTGGTGGGCCGGAGAAGCCGGAGAAGCCGGAGAAGAAGCCGGAGAAGCCACAGAAGCCCAGAGCATCGGCGCTGGTATAGCAGTGGCTGATAGATGTTATCAGGCGCTTTCACAGGGCGCTGGTAGATATACATACTCCGGCTTTTGAACGCTGATAAGGACGCTGGCAGTGGCCGCTGGTAGATCTTTTCTACATATACTTTTGCTCCTAGATATTTAACTTAAGTTAACTATACTAGGAGCATATGCTCCTAGACCATTATATTGCAGGAGCAACCGGCTCCTATAGCTACAAATGAAAACCCACTAATTTTAAAGATGAAAATTAACGTTACTATGTGCTGCAGGACACGACATGTAGTGGGCGAGGTCGGTTTTCAATCCAAGCAATCGAGGTCGGAGCTCTCATACTTGAAAGCCAAAGAGACGTGCTGCTGCTTTTCTACATCCCACACTCTCACTGCCTAGCTTATGGCATCCTTGTCCAGGGCGATGTCTTCAAGAACAGCTTCCACAACAAACCACACTCTTCGTATACTTGTAGCTCAGCAGGCATGGCCGGGAACGACTATAGTATATAGCTTGGACTCTAAATCGCGACTTGAATCATGCTGCATGCGTGGCATCAACATGCCCATGGAATGAAAGCGATTGCATCATGCAACTGGACATGTTCCGGCAAGAGATATATGCTGCAGTACAGAAACATTACAAAATCTATAGAACTGTTTGTTCTTCAGCATAATGGTGTAGGAGCATATGCTCCTATATAGTTAACATTAAGTTAACTATATAGGAGCATATGCTCCTAGACCATTATTGCAGGAGCAACCCGCTCCTATAGCTACAAATGAAAACCCGCTAAAGATGAAAACCATGTGCTGGGCGAGGTCGGCTTTTTTCAATCCAAGCAATCGAGTTCGGAGCTCTCATACTTGAAAGCCAAAGAGACGTGCTGCTGCTTTTCTACATCCCACACTCTCACTGCCTTGGCATCCTTGTCCAGGGCGACGTCTTCAAGGACAGCTTCCACGACAAACCACACTTCTTCGTACTTGTAGAACCGGTTGGCAAGTTCGTGGTGGCCCTCCAGCACGTAGCACGCAAACTCGTACAACAACTCGTCTCTGGATCTCGCAGGCTCCCCGTCCTGGACCCTGATCCATGCACCTTTGTTGCCCTTGGGGTCCAGCTTCTGAAGCAGCACCGCTTTTGCCATGGCTGGGAATATATAAAGCAATATTTGGGCCGAAAAATGGCTGCGGAAATGGCTGCATGCGACACAATGCACAACAACTTATCATATATGTATATATATATATATATATTTAAGAGTTTCGACAAAATAAACTCATTAAGCCTTTTTACAGAGCTTCTCCGTCGAGAGCATCCGAGGCCAAAAACCGCAGCAAGAAATTCTTTGCATTGGTGGAGGAGGTGTTCTTACCGCCTCGTCTCTTGGAAGCTTTGGCCCAATACCCGCACCAGCTCTCGTCGCGATAGGTCCAATAGTCCCTGGGGTTTCCATGCTGCTCCGTCTGGTATTCAAGCATTTCTTCCATTAAATGCACCTTCGGTTTCATCTGCCAAAACGGGAAGGGTGACTGTTCTTGAAGAGTTTGGTAAAGTACGCAAAAGCGACGGCATTCTTCAGCAGCCTTCTCGTGATCGAAAACCTCGTCCACGGCAGAGATACGCTTTTGCAATTGAAATAGCAAAGCGAAGAGACCTGCAACCAAACGCATGGTGCCATCTTCAGGGTACGTCTGCATGAACTCACGGGAAATCTCGAAAGCAAATGGTACGAGGTAACGACATTCGCCTCCCTTCGCCTTAAGCTTGGGTTTCTTGCTGGCCCCTTCTCGGCGAATCATCTCCAAGGTGAGATTGTCCAGAACACTAGGAGGGCGAAATTGTTTATAAAAATCCCGGATTCGCTGCCATAGCCGTACCAAACGCTGCTCCTTGTTACTTCCTGGAAAGTAGACATTTGATGTGATCAGGAGCCAGAACAAATTGCCTATGACATCGGCACCGACACCGAGGTCAACGATGTGTAGCCAGTCCAGGACGACACAGCTCAGCACGAAGCCGGGCAGGCTTAAAAGAGGTGACAGGGAACCTCCTGCTGCACGCAGCTCGGTCAGGACATCAACATCAGACAGTCGATTCCGCCTCCACGCTGCTCCAGAATTGCAGATCCGGAAGCTCAGGGGATTACTCGTGTCCACATTCATGGCACGGCACTTCCAACAAATCGACTCCGAGCTCCAGCTTAGAAATTGGAACAACTGCCGAAGGAACGGCCAATCCCCACGTACCTGCAATAACAAAGCACGCCCTGCCAACTGATCACCGTGCTTTCGGAAGTATTTTCGCTTCTCCCTGCTTAGCCACCCAGAGCCGTCGGGAAGTTTAGTGCTCACAGCACCCATAAAAAGCATACGCAAACTCCAAGAAATAATGTTCATGATGACGGTCCAGGTTTCAGCCGTTGCGAACTTCTTGGATACTGCCGTGCAGGGCACACGATCTCCGGAGGGCATCGCGAGGAAGTTGAAGCTGATGATCTCCAAGCTTTCTTTCTTTGTGTATGGCACCCCATCCCCATGCAAACCCAGTGCAATGGTCTCTGCCACTTGTAAGCCGAGCTTCCCGCATGCAGGAGCTTTGATGCAGCAGCTAATGTAGGCATCTTAAAATATTCCAACCCATTGCCCCGGACCATGCCATCGATCAGCTCGTGCGGCAACAAGAATGGGTGCTCCCACTCGACCCTTGCCTTGGTGTCGGGGTCCTGGAAAGGAACCATGTGCCAAAAGAGCTCGTGGGCACTCTCACGAACCAACTTGGCCAGGATATCTCTGGCGAAATTGCCGGGATGACGCCCTCCTGCTCCTGCTTCTGCAAAATCTGCGACTGAAGACGTGGCGGATTGATGCTTGGCCTCTGAAGTAGCTCCTTCTGCCAACTCAAAAACGTCTTTCGCTGATAACTTGTTGGACAAAAATGTCTCTGTAAGCTTGCTTCGCAATTTTTTCTTGGGGTTTGCATCGGTAGCACTTCCGGAAGGAGCACTAGGAGCACTCTTTGCTCCTGCTGAGCTGGAGCTAGCTGCTAGCTGCTTGTCGTACTCGCTTCAAAGTGTGCAACTCCTCGCGATCACCCCTGACACAGGCACTGATCCACAGCAGCTTGGCACAAAGTAGGAAAAGTAACATGATCCTCATCACGGCTCTCGGAAGCACTCCCGAAGCTTTGAAAAAACTGACACACACAAACACACACACACACACACACACGCACACACACACGCACACACACACACACACACACACACACACACACACACACACACACACACACACACACACACACACACACACACACACACACACACACACACACACACACACACACACACACACACACACACACACACACACACACACACACACACACACACACACACACACACACACACACACACACACACACACACACACACACACACACACACACACACACACACACACACACACACACACACACACACACACACACACACACACACACACACACACACACACACACACACACACACACACACACACACACACCACACACACACACACACACCACACACACACACACACACACACAACACACACACACACACACACACACACACACACACACACACACACACACACACACACACACACACACACACACACCACACACACACACACACACACACACAACACACACACACACACACACACACACACACACACACACACACACACACACACACACCACACACACACACACACACACACACACACACACACACAACACACACACACACACACACACACACACACACACACACACACACACACACACACACACCCACACACACACACACACACACACACACACACACACACACACACACACACACACACACACACACACACACACACACACACACACACTGACTGATTCGGCCAAGAGAGTGAGAAGAGGAGAGTATGTTGTATGTTGTTTGTCTAATCTGGACACCACAGGGGGCCTGTCCTCAAAACTAATCTTGGCACCACAGGGGGCTGCCAAAAGGTTGCAGGTACGCCGAGTTGATCAGACTCGGTATCCCATGACTGTGGTAGCTTCGTTGAGTGCGGTCCCACAGCCATGCCGCACTCCCCTGCAATCGTGAAGGAGTGACCCTCTGCTCCCATGTGCTAGGGAGGTTCACACACACACACAGCCCCACCTTGGGGCGGCTGTGTGCAGTGAAATAAAGCCACGCCAGGGCTCCAAGACCTAAACGAACCAAAACTAAACCACAAAACCCTGTGGGCTGCAATGCCCGCTTGCAAATCTTGTCGATGTGGTCCGGAATGTTGTGGTAGTCCAAGATGTAGTGAGGCGTTAGGGTTTAGGACTGTCCTTCAGCTGGGCACGCAAGCCCCCAGAAGCGACAGAGGGGAAGGAAGGCTGATCAGCTGCCCTTGCAAGGGCCCAGATCCAGCCGGGGACTGTTCCTCAGCTGGGCGCGACGGCCCCCAAAGGCAACAGTAAGGAGGGTTGAAGGAAAGACTGCTACCCAGCTACCCTCGAAGGGGTCCAGGGCTAGCAGCTTCTGACCAATGTATTGCACATGTGTTTGTATGTTGTAATTAGGGGGTGAGATTAGGGTGAGGACACTCCTTCCAGCTGTCACCAAAGACCCAGGAACGGAGTGACTACTGCCCAGCTACCCGAGCAGGGTCCAAGGCCAGTAGCAGGATTAGGGAACTCCACCCTCCAGCTGTGTAGCAAAAGACACCCAGGAGCGGCGGACCAGCCTCCAGCTGTGCAGAAAAGCACCCAGGAGCAATGGAATGAGAGGTACCACGTCCTGCGTGGTCCTCAACTTAGGGTGTGGGGTTAGGGGGAGAGAAAAGCGAGAGGCCGAGTACTCTCCGAAGAGAGCGCTGTTTCACTTGCACTAGCCGTCGATTACTGCAACTGCACTCATGTCGGATGCACATGCCCTTGCATTCCCTGAGAAATAAAGAAGCGGTCGACTACGGGACAGACTAGGGAGGTAGCACCTGCTCACTAGACGCACTTACCGCATTAGCCGTCCATTACCGCACCTGCACTCATGTCAGACGCACATGCGAGCATCAGAGAGAGAGAGATAAAGTAGCATCGGGAGAATCTGAACGATCTGAACGAAGGCTGAACACCCGGTTCATCACCGGTCTCCCCGGAGGGTCACCACGGCGCCATGACGGAAAGCCGTTGCTCTGGAGTCTCAACGACCCACGCTAGTCACACTGACTGATTCGGCCAAGAGAGTGAGAAGAGGAGAGTATGTTGTATGTTGTTTGTCTAATCTGGACACCACAGGGGGCCTGTCCTCAAAACTAATCTTGGCACCACAGGGGGCTGCCAAAAGGTTGCAGGTACGCCGAGTTGATCAGACTCGGTATCCCATGACTGTGGTAGCTTCGTTGAGTGCGGTCCCACAGCCATGCCGCACTCCCCTGCAATCGTGAAGGAGTGACCCTCTGCTCCCATGTGCTAGGGAGGTTCACACACACACACACACACACACACACACACACACACACACACACACACACACACACACACACACACACACACACACACACACACACACACACACACACACACACACACACACACACACACACACACACACACACACACACACACACACACACACACACACACACACACACACACACACACACACACACACACACACACACACACACACACACACACACACACACACACACACACACACACACACACACACACACACACACACACACACACACACACACACACACACACACACAACACACACACACACACACACACACACACACACACACACACACACACACACACACACACACACACACACACACACACACACACACACAGACACACACAGACACACACAGACACACACAGACGACACACACAGACGACACACACAGACGACACACACAGACGACACACACAGACGACACACACAGACGACACACACAGACGACACACACAGACGACACACACAGACGACACACACAGACAACACACACAGACGACACACACAGACGACACACACCGACGACACACACAGACGACACACACAGACTTACACACAAGACCACACACAGACCACACACAGAC